GAGGGGCAATAGCGGCTAGGATTAGGGTTTGGGTGTGGATGATGTTATTTATACTCATTCGCTTTTGATCTGGGTCGTTCATCACTTTTAATCTGGATCGTATGATCGCGATTAAATAGATAGTGAATGTGGACCGTTCATCGCGATTCAATCTGGGTTGTTCATGCACGATTCAATTTGGACCGTCCGTGCATGATGCAATTTAGGGCCTCCGTGCGCGTTTTTTGATCTGGGTCGTCCGTGCCAACGGGAACGGATCTCAACCGTTCAATCGCGTGCACGCAGATCGCCTATGTGGCTCCCCCCGCGTGGCCTCCTGCGTCAGCACCTCTGCTACCTAGCGCGTCCTAATTGTTCAGGGCTGCTGACCTGACAACTGACGTGGCGTAACTTTTCTAAATTGCGTTTTGACATTCGGTTTCCGATTTTCCTTTTAAAAATATTCTCATAACCTAAATTTTTATCTTTTTTTTCACAAAATTGTTTTCAATTAAATCCCTAATCAATTTTTACCCTTTATTATTATTATTATTTTCATTAAATCAAATTAAAATTAAATAAATTAAATTAAAATAATATAAATAATAATTATATTTATATAAATAAGAATAATAATTAATAAAAATAATAATAATAAAAAAGAAAGGTTAGGCGTTACATCTGATGTAACATTCAACTTACAAGTAAATCAAATAAAAAATATTATGTGTCGTCTAATTTGAAGTAAAATATCTAACTTACTAATGGTAGCTTGAGATATACGCTAATGCAGAAAATGTTATGTATCGTTAAATTTGACATGTAGTATTTAACTTAGTTATGATAATAACTGGTAATAGAGATATTATAAATTAAAATATTTTTAAAAATATAAAAATTAATTTGAACAAAATCTATTATATAAAGATCATATTATTAATTTAACCATTTATCATATGTTAATAAGTAAAAAAAACAAAAAACAATTACTATACTTTTACTAATAACTTCAATTAATGAATTTAACATAAGTTCACCATGTTCTAAACTAAAATAATTTATTTATTAATATTATTAAACACATCCACAAGTTAAAAAATTCAAAAGATTACAATGATATTTCTTTACAATTAAAAAAATTATTAATTCGTTCTAAATAATATATAATGAATAAATATATTACCCATAAAATACTAAAATTTTATCAAACTCAAATCATATATTAGTTTACAAAAAAGAAATCATCATAAACCTTTTTTTTAATTAAAAAAGTTCATATATTTTAATTGATTATAAAAATAAACCATTCATATTTTAGATCGAAAAAGTTCAACATTGGAAATCAGTTTTTGTGGGTCTTCAAAATTTTTCTTTATATCCACGTGGTCATTTATTTAATACAGCAAATTATATTCTTAAAATATTTATAGTGGAATTAATTAAAATTAATTTACTGAATACTATATTAATATTTAATTAAAATATTTTTTCTCGGAGGATATTTCATTTTTATAAGGTGATGGAAGCAAGCCGGGACCATTTTAATTATTGTGTTAATTAAAAGAGCTTAAAGCACGGGTTATGGTCTGTAATTATTGTTTAATATTGTTCGTACGAGGTTTAAGTGGTTGGTGGATCATGGCAATATAACTGTCCGTGATGGTGACACTTTTTCTTTTCATATTTTATGATGAGAAGTAAATATATAAGAAATAAGGATTTTTAGTATTTTTTTTTTCCACATTTTTGTTGGAAGTAAATTAAATTACTAAATTATTTTCTGAATTTACATTTAATACAATTGTTTTTAAATATTTTTGATATAATTTGATATTTATTACGTTTAATTTTGTCTTTTTTTAATTTATAATTTAATTTTTAAACATTAACTATTTTTTTTTATAAACTCATAAAAAATTTATTTATATTTTAAACAAAACTAAAAACAAATAAAAAAATTTTTACATTAGAGATCTTTTCTTTTTTAATGAGCACTTTGAGCAACACAATCTTAACTTTCTGTCCAACGACATAAGTTCACGATTTTTACCACATCGACATTCAATTTTGGCACCTTGCATTGAGGCTTTGTTTTGTAAGCTATTTTTCATATAATAATAATTGATTTTGACTTTAAACTCTTCAATAATAAGATTGTGGTCGTAAATGCAGACTTTTAAATATATATTTGATAATTTTAATTAGATATGTAAAATTCGTTATATGAATTGACTAATAATTACTGTTTATACTATCATAAAATTTGATCTTTTAATTTCAATGTATATTTTAAAAAATCAAATAAAATTAAACTTAAATTCATTCGAACATTTATATATTGGATATGTTAAAATTCGAAGACAAACCACTTTACTCCTTTACCAAATTATTCAAAATAATATTTTCAACAATATAAATTGTAGAACAATATAATCAATCATATTAAATCATTAAATAACTATTATAACAAAACAAATAATTTTCAATTTCAAAGTCTCTAAGTCTTATTTGGTATTTAAGGGGATTGGTCATCTCTATATATATATATAAAGACAATGAAAAAGAAAAATTAAAAATCAGTTTTAGAGATAATATTATGAATTTATTTAGTAAATCCAAACACATCAACCAGTCAACAAAGACTTATAATAGGTGCAGGTGTAGTTAATACACGTAAGATAATTATGAATTTAATATTGTAATAGTTTTATTAAAAAAATAAAAATAATAATTAAGAAATTAGTTTAATTAAAATATTATAAATTTTAATTTCAAGAATCATTAAATTATGTTTAATTGAAAAAAAAAATAAAAAAAAAAATGAAATCTAGCGGTAAAATTCTGTGTTGTGTCCAAACAAAACAATCACCTGCTCTCCCTCTCCCTCTCTTTCTTCCCCTCATAAATCGCCATATCTTCCTCCCCGCCGTTTCTTACTCCGAAAGAAACTTACCTTATTCAAGCCAAACAAACCCTAACTTGTCCTAACATGGCTCTGCATTTCCGTCTCCTAATTTTCTCTTCCATTTCTCCGTCAACACAATCATGAACCACAACCAGAACAAATAGTTGAATCATCCGCCGGCTGATAAATTTTAAAGTCGTTTTTGTTATACATTGTTACTTCGGAGATGAAACAGAGCAGAGAGGACATTAACATGCATCAAGTTCTCTCTGTTTCAATAATCATCGCTATTGTTGCATTGAGCTCCTCCCGTGAAGGTGTCTGTCAATCTAGCGACGATTCAGATTTTTCTGATGACAGCAATCCAGCTGCTTCACAGCTTTTTAACCAGATAATTTTTGATCGCATCTCTAATCTCACTACTGTTTTTCAAGATGATATTAAAAGGGAATTTGGTTTTTGCATAACAGACGTGTAAGTTGTCGTTCTTCGTACTATCATATATCACATCCTATGCAGATGTCCGTGTGTACATACATATGTTAATTTTTACCTGTGAAATTTATAGACATCTTCTTGGTTATCCGCAAAGCATCCGTTTATTGATATTGATTTAGTTTCTCCAACAGGAAGTGAACTTATAATTTTGATTCAAACTGTGATATTACATGAAATATGAACTGCAGGGAAGCTGATTGGAATGGGGCATTTAATTTTTCAGAAAGACCTCAATTTTTGTCTAACTGTGCCAAAAAAAGCAAAGGTACATATTATTGGATTGATTTTTACTTATATTCAAGACCTAAATGCGTAACATTAATCCAATCCCTCCTAGTTATCTTGGATGCCACACTTATTTTAAGGTTGGTAAAACATGGGTCACCAGGGGTGTTTACTGTGAGATTCTTTTGTAAATGCCATAAATATTCTATCCTTACGATCTTCCCAAATGGAACTCTATATGCAAAAGTGCATAAAATTTTGATTTCATTATTTTCTTTTTCAGATTTGGATTAAGATCATAGAAATTTGTATGTTGCAAAGGAATGAGTACTGTTTTTTTTCCTCTTTATTTAAACTCAACAGTGGCCGATTATTATGTCTAGTTAAGTACATAAATTTCCTATGTACTTAAATTTCCTAAGCATAGAAGAAGACAAACTAGCACAGTTGAGAAAGCCATATCCAACGGAAGATTTAAAGAAGCCAGAGGGTCCTAATCAGAAATATGAGCAATGGACTAGTCCTAATCATAGTACCAGTAGTGTTTACTTGATAATTATTATGTGTTTAAGGTTTTTTTTTTCCTTTTTTTACATAAACATTGTTAATATTTTAATTTGTAATATATGTATATTTTTTGTGTTTTTTCACTGACTTTAATTTGTTTAGCTTTAAATTTTGTAAATGTTTGAGAAAGAAAAGTCTGAAGACCCTGAACACTTGCAATTGTCCTTAATCTAATGATGTTAGATTTAGAAACAAAACAATAAATCACACTGTACTGAATTATCACAAGAAAACGGTATTTGAGTTGTAATAAAGTTAACCCACAGGAATTAAAAGTGTACTTGATTCTTAAAAAACTTCTACAGACATACAAGTTTCATATTTGTGGTTTACGGTGATTCTTGTATTATGTCAGCAAACCAAATTGTAAAATGGTTACCCATTTGTTTTACCAGTTGTCTAAAGTAGTTTAATAGATCATTTCTAGTTGAATTTATTTTATTATGAGTCAATATTTGATATCTCTAATAATGTCTTTGTGGTTCAACAGGTGACATGATGCAGCGTATATGTACAGCTGCAGAAGTAAAATTCTACTTCAGTAGTTTCTTTGAGAGTGCAACAAAGCGAACCAATAATTATTTGAAACCCAACAAGAATTGCAATTTAACCTCATGGGTTTCTGGATGTGAGCCAGGATGGGCATGCAGTGCGGGTGAAGATCAAAAGGTTGATCTGAAAAATTCAAAGGATATTCCTATTAGAACTGAGAGCTGTGCACCCTGTTGTGCGGGCTTTTTCTGTCCTCGTGGAATTACTTGCATGATAAGTAAGTCCTCTCAGATTTAACAGATGATAGCAGTATAATGAGAACTAGCATTTTATATCTTTCTTCTTAGTATGCTTATTGTATGCTTTTTATTCCCTGTTTTTTGAATTAGGAAGTATCCTTCTTTATTTGATGATAATATCAGATATTTGGAATATTTAGAAGATTGATGTTAGGAAACAGTCATTTTTCAGAGATGGGAACATTTAATTCACATCTCAATCACTGTTTAGGTTAAAAAACAAAGAGATTCACCTTCTGTGCACCATCTCCCTTTTCCCTGAAGATAATAAAGGGGAGATAGACTTCTCTGAAAGAACTAACACCAGGGACATGTGAATGAATCAAATAACAGCCCACTGTTTATAAGGAGTTCCATTGATTTTTAAAGCACCTGTTCTTTTCTCTTTAAAAATAAATATACTTAGTTGGAAAGAAGCTTTAAATGCTTTTCATCTGAAAAAAAGAAACTGCTTCTAGGATTTGATAATACATTGTCTTCGTAAATTGGAGTTATTGCAATGTGTAATATTTTCTCCTAATGAGATAAAGGTACAATCCCACAATTTGATAGTACTGACTTCATCTTCCTGTTGGCATTTTTAACTTCTGAACTGAAGCTTGTCCACTGGGTGCCTATTGCCCACTTGCAAAACTCAACAAGACTACTGGTTTATGTGACCCGTAAGTTCATTATTGTTTTAAACGTTTTACTTTATCTTGAGCTTTTATGCTGTAGCATACATTAATATTTATTAGCAGAAGTATTTTGCAGATACCGATACCAACTACCTCCTGGAAAGCCAAACCATACATGTGGCGGAGCAGATGTTTGGGCTGATATTGGGAGTAGTAGTGAGGTATTCTGTTCAGCCGGATCATACTGCCCCTCTACTATCCAAAAAATTCCTTGCACTAAGGGGTATTGAAAGTTATCCCAGAATCTCTACCATTTACTCATAGAATTGCAGCTCAGAATTTTTTTTATCTATTGTTGCATGCTTGTGCTATCCTCTGTAGTTTGGGCGGTCTTTCATGCTCAGCTCTTCTGTTTCCTTTTTTTAGTTCCCTTTCTATTGTCTGTGTAATGGCTGTAGTTTCTTGACTAATTGACTATTTGTCATCTTCTTCAGACATTACTGCAAGACAGGTTCAACATCACAAACGGGTAAGGTTCTTGATAATTCACGAGCATGAACCAATCACACTCTTATGATA